AGTAAAAAATTAAATTGTCCAATTAAATTTGGCAAATAACTGATGTGGCTTGGTTCATTGCTGTTTGATGCGATCCAATTTTAGTGGATCGTCTAAAAAGCGCTAATGCCTGTTTTTCTAATTTTCCGTAATGTTTTGAATGGTTTCGATGAAAAAGCTGTGTGCAGTAACGTCAGTAACAAAACCTTGGGAGAGGGCAGCAAGTAACCTGGCATAATCCCTAGATGATACATAAGCAAAGGAATGGATAGTTTGATTATTGCATATGACAATAACGTAATTAAAGTTAATTTAATAACCGTTAATATTGTAAGATTGCTCAAAAATCAAGACTTCAGCAAATCGATCCCAATTTTCTCTCTTTTTTATCTAGGCCCTCTGAAATGCATGACGGGGGGAGGGGGGTGTTTTTGCCGCCCCCCCCTCCCAATTACTCCACTTTCTGTGTACTTTCATTAACGTGCGTAATAGGTTTAATGACTGTTCCTTGAAAGACTTGTTTATTTTTTCTCACGTTCATAAAAATTTGAGAAAAAAAACACCGATTGATGGCTTAAGTGCAAAATCGCGTATCTTCGAGTGCAATTTTGCAGACTTCTTGTCAAATTTCTTTTTTTCTTCGGTAAACTAGTCAATGCATTTTCTCAATGTCCTCCTTGATTCTTTCTTTCTGTCAGCATAATATTTTGTATGAATTTTAAGCTAAATGTTGACTTGTCTCTCTTTGAAAAAGTAATAGATAAGAAGAAATTTTGAAATACCGCGATGGAAAAACGTGGTTTTGCACTTTAGCAGTCGATATAGAGACATGTTTTCGATAGACATCAAAGTTTTAAGCCAACGCGATGGGATTACAAATAATAGACAATGTCTTCCATCGCTTTCAGGCTTTTTTTTTGAAGTTTCGGTTAAAAGCACCCAGGAAGAGAATTTACACAGGTTCATGAGTTCACAGCGCTTCTCGTAGCATTTTACCGGCTCAGTTTATCAGCATCCGTCGGAAAATAGAGTGCGTGTCCATTTGAACTTGTGAATAATGAAGAAAGTGAAAAAGGGACTGCGTGTACCTGCAAAGTGACTGTTCGCTTACAAAGTCTTGGTCCTAAAAACAACATAATTTCAATGCATTATAGAGCGGGATATCCGTTCTTTTCACAAGATTCCTATGTAATGATCCGCCTACACGAAACGCGGTAGCCGGTGACAGTATTTGATTTTTTTGTATTTGCGAAGAAAATGTTTACTCTGCTGTAGAAAGGGGCTGCGTTGTCAGTAGCTAAAAAATAACGTTTCCATTTTTTATTCCTTTAATTTTTTCCCTGATGAAGAAAATGCTCTTTCTAAGATCAATGATTTAATACTTTTTTTTGAAAGCAGAACCCTGAAAAATGGTTGTCAATCGTTAAAAAATTGAAGATTCTTTAAAATATCATAAATTCGCAGTTTATGTCACCACTTAAGGGCTCTTATCAACCAAAAACCGAGGAAATATAGGAATTTTTGGAGAAACTTTCATGAAAGCGAGAAATATAGCGCAAATTTACTTTTAAATAGTGTGCTCAGTTGGCTGTATCTCTTGCGTGCAACAAACATATTTTATTCAATTTTTGGTTTACAAGTTGTTCATCAATCATCAAGCAAAAAATAGCTTAAAACCCCGAACTTCACTTCTGCCTCACTCAACCGCATTGCTCAGATCTTCAGTCTAAAATATATCATCACTGAACGGACCGGTGCGAACTCGACAACGATGTACAGGTAGGACACGAGCGTGTAAACGCCTAACGTCACTTAAAAATACATCAAAACCCGACATTGCACTTGTGAAGTCGCAGCACTGCTGCCAAAATGCAAGGAATACCCAGAGTATCTCCTAGATGAGCACTGACCATTCCACCTGCAATCGGACACCGTTGTTACCACATCTAACACCGCGCCGTACCGCCGTTGAATACTTCATGCGCAGCACCATTGCCCGCGCCGGCCACTAACCGGGCAGGCTTAAGAGCCGATTGCTTTAAATGTGTGTTGAAGCTACATGTAAATGACCCCGGAGGTCCTAATGCTTGCATGTGCCCACCGTCACCTCTGAGTCTCAATTCGGTGATTAGCACAGATCCTTGGGGTTTCTTGATTGGTTACCGGTTGTGACACTCTAAGGGGGCAGGTACACCTGCGAGCTAGACGCGCGTCTTGAGCGGCTAGTATAGGCCTTCGGCCGTGTTCGGCAATCTTCGTAGCCAATCAGGTTGCAACTTGGATCGGATCCTACTTTTCAGGTCAAGACCATAGAGCACATAGAGTCGTAATGTAAGTGGGTGAGCTGGCGCAACTTTTAAGCATTTTCCAGGTCCCCAATTCCGAGACCCCTGTGTGACGCCGGGTCACTTTTTCGATACTTAATCGATTGTTTGCGATACAAGGCTATCCGGCCATCCAATGTAAACAAAGAAGATAGGAATCACCACGTATTCCCCACCGCCATTTTGGATCGAGCATGTATCGAAAAAGTGCCCCGAATTCGGCGCACACCGGGCTCGGAACTCGTCGAGCAGAACATGGCGCCAGCTCTCCCATTCACATTACGACTGTACGTACTCTATGGTCAAGACGTGCGTATAGCACACACATTTGTATCTGGCCATTAAAAGAAAAGGAACCTTAGCCTACGGAAACTAAAATTGAGTAATAATTGATAGTATCTCATACACAAAGGGAAAAGTCTGGTCATATTGTCGTTCCCCCACTAAAGGACGTAACTGCATTCCTTTGTTGCCAAATTTCCCCTCCCAAATTGAACTTTTAATACGAGAATCTTGGGCATTTTTAACCAAATTTTTTTCTGATTTCATGCAAAAACAAATGCAATTCTACCACAGTCGATAAAAATTATCGGCGTTTTTACCAAGGTCCAGTAAAATTACCGAGAAGGTTTAGTAATTTTACCGAGATTTCTCGGTAAAATTACCAATTCCATAAATGGTAATTTTACCAAGAAATATCTGGGATTAAATAGAACCCTGAATTCTTGGTAATTTTACCCTTTTCTTTGTAAATACACAGAGATTTTTTTTTCAGTGCAGGAAACTTTCGAATCGACGGACTTATTTCAAAGTGTCACTCGCGGAATTTTTGGAGAAAGCACATAACGAGGTGCTGAAATTCTAACCCTGCCCACTACGCAGTCATACATTAGCCCTATAATTACGCTCCGAAGAGAGAGCGGAAACAGGGCGCGAGAGAGATGGAAAGGGCGGGGGGCGCCGGCCGCGCTTGGCGTGACGATCCGAGCGCGGAGTTATCGGAGAACCCATAATTGTCATAACTTTTATTAAAATTTAATTCCTGGCGCTGCGCTACTTCCCGCAACGACCGGCTCTAACGGCGAGTTACAGCACCGCTAAATGCACTCTGAAAGTGCAATAAAACTGCGTCGAGTGCATACAGCAGCGTGGAACCGGAACATGCACAGGGCGTGTAAATGCGCTGACAATTCGGTCGCGACTTCGCGAATCGACCTTCAATTGCGCGAATTTAAATCCAAAGGACCTATCTCAATCCTGACATGAACCCGTTCAGGCATGGATTCATATGAGTCTTAGAGCCCATGTCGCAATGTAGATAGTTCCTTTTGATTTGAGGATTCGAATGTGTCGCGAATGTTCGCGAAGCATTGCGGTTTTCGCCGTGGGAAATAGAACCGCGTGCATCCGGTGGAAACCTCATGCAGTTAAGCGGTTTTGGCTAAGCACGTCAGAGTAGGGTAATGGGGTAGTAAATAGTAACACCTCGGTAATTTTTGAGTACATGACGGAGTGCATTGAAATTAATGCATCTGTCCTCGCGTTTGATCAGCCAATAAGTCGAGTGCGGAGTTTTTGCAGGTTGCATACGCCCGATAATTTTAAGGGGCTCCTATATTGCTGGTTGCATTAATGTCGTCGACGATGTATCGTTTCCAAGACGAAATAATGTAACTACGTCTCCGTGTTGCAAAATTTCTACTCGTGATTGAAGTACTGTGTGCAGACAGGGCTATTCTTTGGTTGATGCGCTTCAAAATCTCCGCTGTTAATTAACATTTCTCCGGAGAATACTAACGGGTAACTTTTCTGAAAATTTTATCGTAGATAATTTTAAAATCAAAAAAGAATATTCCGTTAAGTTTTAATAAAATATTTCTGCTGCTCTTATGATGAATGAAAAGTTAGCGGAGATTCTGAGGCACCGTGAACGAGAAATGTTCCTCCTGCACCCAGTGATTCGGTTTGCATTTGTACTCTGGAACCCTACTTTTTGACCCGATTCGAACAAAACTGCTCTAATGGGAATGTTGCCGGAGACTTCTTTCCTCATATGGTAACAAATTTAGAATGGGTGACTAGGCAAGTATAAATTAAAGCACTATACGTAACTTTCCTCCTCAAAATTTCACGAAGGAAATAAATCACACAACCGAAAATCTTGACTCAACTTCTATAAACAACATACGAGTATCTGTAATGCGAGCATTAGTTAAATTGCAAAAATACAAATGACGTCATTTCTATAATCTTAATACCATTTGATCAACCATTTTTTTTGATCATTTGATTTTGAGACAATCTTGTTAATACCTCGTTCAAGAGTTGATTCCCGAACCTCCTGCTGTAAGAATAGTTTTCTTCGTAAAGTTTTGATGAGACAACTCTAGTCGCCCATTAACGGTCTAGACGGCTTAAAATAGGACTAGAACTTACGTTTTTTTTGATGCGTCTGTAGATATCATGCAACGGTTTACCTGAAAGCGAGGCTGTTTTCACCACCACCAAACTTTTGATACCGCCAACTCACCTTTTTTTTTAAAAAAAAATTTTTGCTCTTGGAAAAAACGCGACCAGAGGGATTGAAACGGGCAACATTGATAACTTCGCGTGCCACCCAACCTTTACATCTATGAGATATACTTTTACAACACTTGTGTAGTGAAGCTCAATTTTCTTATCTCTTTATTGTTTCAGTGCCTCCTGAGAAAATAGCGATTTACGATGAATCCACCGACGAAGAAGCAAGACCAAGGGAGGCTCGAGGGGAGGGAACTTCACCGGTCTTCAGATGTCAAGTTTCTGGTGGTAAGTTCGCGATCTCTTGTTGTCCTTATTTGCTCAAATTTTTATCACAATCACTGATTTTACTATTTTTCCGTTATTATACAAAAAATAGCGGCGGCGGTGATTTCAAGTATCAGAACAACATGAATTTAATAGAAGGGAAACAAATCGACCCATGTGTTTTCAGAATATTGTAGCTTCTGATTGGCTTCAAATACTAAGTATGTGCAGTTAGTACAATTCACAAAATCGTTTTTATTTCGATTAAAACTGATTACTTTGGGGGGAAAATAGCAAAAATGTTTATTATTGTACACAAATCTTACAAGACTGTAATAGAGTTGGCCCCCCTCTATTAATGCGATCCAAATCGACACTCTAAACAGCAGTTTTTCCACCCAATGAAAATTATAAAGAAGCAATTGGAACTGCTTTTTACACGTATGAATAAATAAATTAAAATTTTTATTTTTATTTTTTTAACTTGTATAATCCCCAGAGTAGTTTTATGAACATATGAATAAGTTCTTTATTGGACATAATTTGGACTTTTTTTTTGCAATCTGGAACTATAAAATCAAGCCCAGTTTAAAAACAACGTATGCGCCATTAGTTTCCCTATGCACATGAGTGATTTTTCAGATGAGCCAGAATTTATAGCTCCAAATTGCAAAATGCAGTCCATTTAAGTCGTTGCCTAATTTGTCGTTTCCCGCACGAAGAAACGTAACTTCATTTCCCAGCAGTCCGATTATTGAAACTATGTTGGCACGACAAGACAATACATGGCCCTATTTTAACCATGCAATATACATCCCATTTTGATGTCTTATGGGGCTGCTTTTAACTTTCAAAGATCGGCACGCTGGTTGCAAAATTGACTTAAACAATACAATTCATTACGAGAATAAACTTGCACTTCGTCAAAAATTTTTCTGATTTTTGCATGAGATCAGAAGAAAAAATCGTGAAATTTTTCGTCAGAAATTCCCAAAATTCTCCGCGTAATAATGTGTAGTTACGTTCTTTCGTGAGAAAAACGACGAAGTTGTCAAACTTTTAGACGGAAAATTATTTAATAATTTGAAAGTTTTTCCGTTTTTATTAGGATTCATGTTAATGTTGTTAATGTTTTAAAAGAAAATGGACTGCACTTTGCAATTCGGAGTTATAAATTCTGGCTCATTTGAAAAAAAAAACACTTATGAGCATTGGGAAACTAATGGCGCATACGTTGTTTTTAAACCGGGCCGGAATTTATAGTTCCTAATTGCAAAATGTAGTCCAAATGACCAGAAGATTAGGAAGAAAAGGTAAACATTTTTTTAGAAAACATTCTAAGAAAAGGATTTGATTGTTGGTAGGTCGGCCACCTCCTCGGGTAACATGGCTGCTGGACTCAGGACTGCTGGACGAAACTAGCGATACGATCGGTGACAGAACCATTAACGTGATTCACGTTCCGCCTCTGACCCGTCTCAACGTCAACTCGCGGCTCTCCTGCCAGGCATCCAACACCCACCACATCGCCCCGGTCACCAAAACCATCCAGCTTGACGTCTATCGTAAGTACCCATAACTATAACATGTAATCATGAATTTCAGTTAGTTCCCGGAAATGTACCATGTCCTGAATGGGCTCACATAATTTCTTTCTGGGTATGTATTGGTAAAGATTACATTCATAAACTGAGCCGATGCACACCTTTCTTTTAATTGATTTTTGGAAAGATCCTAAAAACGAGAATGCCTTTACTTTACGGTTTTTATTGGATCAACTTTTAGCCGAGAAATTCATTTCAAATTGCAATCCGGTTTCAAACGGAAAAATATCGCGGCAATAATAGATTTCGTGACGTCTCAAGAAAAATTTGACTATTTTTTGCAAAAAGGAACTGCTTCTTCAGGCTTATTTTAGAAACAAAGTAAGTGCTACTTGATTTCAAATGCAGATGTACGCTTTTGTGGATGAGCCAGAAACAGTAGTGTTCCTACTTGCAAAATTTAGCCCAATCGCCGAGTGCAATTTGCCCCCATATTTTTTTATCCACTCTCAGATCGCAATTCTTAGGAGAGATGATGTATCTCAAACGTTTCAATATCATTCCTGTTTAAAGTTACATTTTTTTGTAAATTTTAACTTACACATGATTAGCTCCTGTTCCTTTTTAATTAATATTTTATAGCATCAGCCAAGAATGGGGTTGTCAAGACCCCAAAACATCCCGCCTTCTTGAGCAACTAAATTTTAACCTTAATTATCAATTTTGTTTATTTTACCCTTCATAAAAAGCTTTAATAAAAACACGAATGCACGGTCCGAACTTGGATTAGAATTTAACGTTCAAAAATGAGTTCTCACCTCTCCTTCCACCACCCTTGCGTTACCTTGCTTTCCGGTGGAAAGTTCACTCCTATAATGCAGAAGATAATGAGAGAGAAGCTCGCCTCGCGGTGCGGAGGATAATGCTCGCCCGGTCGCCACTCCCCGAAAAATCCAGGACTCCGTCCCTCTATAATTCATTTAAAATGTTAAAATATCGTGCACGATTCGGCAACTTGAGAAGGGGATAGGCGGGTTCGAAGGTGATATAGGTGAAACTTTGTTTGGGTGTCAGACACGGACGCGACGGAGGGGCGGGGGCGGGGTGCAGGCGGAGGGGGTATTTAACTCGGAATCCGGGCTAATGCTAGGGCAGACCAGACATCGATAAATACGACCCCTGACCCGATGATCCCCCCAAACAATAAAATATATCCCTCCGAACTGACCCCCAGCGAGCTCGCCCGATAACATCTCTGGCTCTTTCCTTCTCGGGTTTCGTCCGCGCCCGCCTCCTTGGGAAGAACGCCGTATGAGCATACCAACGTTGCCAAATTTTCTCCAAAATCCGCGAATAAAGTGGACGGATTTGAACAGAATCAGCCCGTACTGAAAAAATATCGATGTTGATTTAACATTCTGTATGTAAAAATAGTGTGCGGGAACTTCTAAAATGCTGAATTAACCGCTGCAGCAGTTAATTTAGCAATGCCAAGATGTAAAACTAACTGCTGAGGTGCGTAATTCAGCATTTTATAAGTTTTTGCGCACTTTTTTTACATCCCAAATTTTACATTAACTTCACGTTGTCTAATGGACCTGTTGCAAACTTTTGCTAGAGCAAAAATAAGAGTTGTTTCTTGTAGATAATGCCTCAAAAATCACGATGAGCGCATCGGCAAAGTCTGAAATGCACTCATAACTTCACAATCTGCGTAAGAAATTTGCGTTTTTTTAAGCTTCCCGCTTCAAAAACGATACTACGGCACAGGTGAACATTTTGTTAGAGGAGTCGCTCCATCGTCGGCGATATTCATCATGGCCGACGCTTGCGCGCAGTTCCGCGCGTAATTCGAGGAGAGTTCAAGGTCAATCAATTCGGGCGTGGAAAATATGAACGTTAACACACCGATTGTTATCTGGTCTAATCCAGTTCAGATGTTATCTCGTCCCATCAAACGTGTTTTGGCGGATTGGCGTCGGCCATGATGATTATTGCCGACGATGGAACGACTCCTCTTACAAAATGTTCACCTGTGCCGTAGTACCTATCGTTTTTGAAGCGGGAAGCTCAAAAAACCGCAAATTTCTTACGCAGACTGTGAAGTTATGAGTGCATTTCAGACTTTGCTGATGCGCTCATCGTGATTTTCGAGGCATTATCTATAAGAAACAACTCTTATTTTTGCTCTAGCAAAAGTTTGCGACAGGCCCATTTGAAGTATTTAAAGCGCTGGGTGCAGAAAGTGCATTTCTTGGTTGCGGTGTCTCAAAATCTCCGCTATCGTTTCATCCATCATGATTAAAGCAAATGTATGTATTAGGTTGTAACTTTTACTGAATATTCTTCATGATTTTACAAGGCTGAAAACGTAAAATTCCAGGAAATTTACCCAATACTATAGCACTGAAGATTCTGGGATACCGCAACCGAGAAATGCCCTTTTTACACCCAACGCCTCATTTATGTCTTTGAAAGTTCAGAAGTTTGAAAATTCTGTGCAGTTACCTTGCAGTGTTGCTCAGATTGTGCAGCTTTGTATTTTACCTGTAACTTACCAAACAAACACACATCCTAATATTCAAAGGGAAAGTAGGAAAAAAGCGCAAGTCGTCAAAGTCGCTAACTCTTTTTTTGCCGAAATTGTCAGTCAGGCAGTATTGTTCGTTGGCCCTCGAAGTTGGAAATGGTATAATTGTTTTTTTGCTTTATTAATGAGTTAGGTTAGGAGTTAGGAGGAGGTTAGGAGTTAGAAGTGTAAAAGTGCGTGGGTCGTAGAAACACCATCCTCTATTCAACCGCACTGGCAACGACGCAAGTTGCCGCTTAGTTGTAGTTCCCAGTTGATGTGTGTAAAATGAGCTCAGGTTTCCCATTATGCCGCGCTAAGGAAGAACGCCGTATGAACATTCGAGAGTTTGCAAATTTCCTTCGATGAAATGTTTATTTTTGAAGAAAGGTATGAATATTTTCCCTTTAAATTTTCAGAATCTTTAGGTAAAATTGCGAACAATATTATCTTAAAAATTGAAAGAAAAAAAATTCATGAATTTACCAGGAAACCTGCGTTTTATATAAGAAAATTTGGTAACGCCTGAGGGTTCATACACCGTTTTTCCTTAGCACGGCAGCATTGCTGCCTGCCATGATGGAAAGGGAATCGAGGGTGGAGTTGCTCGGCAGCCAAAGGGAAGCTCCTTGCACACACTACACATGCAGGCTTAGAACACGTAATACGGAGGTCTGTGCGCAGGCATAAACGCAGAGACAGCTGGCGCCAAAGGTCGGATGCAAGTATTCGTGGTCCTGGGTTGTCCGTGTTGCATATCCAAAAATTGAAGGCGTTTTGGCTTCCGCGTGCTGTAACGCGGCACAATAGCTTGCGTGCGTCGTTCAAAATCGTTTTCAACTCAAAATGAATCACGGTAACTTTAACAATATGTCATTCTTTCAGACAACGATTATTTTCTCACCTGTATTTTGCTTGAACCCAAATTGTACTAAGAAATTCAAATCATATTTTGTGGAGAGTTTCCTCTACAGTAATCCTTGAAATTTTCAACCACCTAGAAAGTCTCTTGGATAGGTAAAGCGTTACAATTTCTTTTGCGCAATATATTTTAAAGTGTGGATTCAACTTGACAGCTAGAATATAACGCAAACATTTTTCCCACACTTGCAGATGATTTCTTCCCAAAAATTCAAAACTTGGGTCACTACTTTCAAAATGTCAAGACTACGGACTCATCGAGAAATTCTAACGTGTTCCTAGTCTCAAAATCACAAAAATTTGCGTGGTAGTTGTCTGTGAGTAACCATGACAAAACATTAATATTTAGGAAGTTGCAGAACTCATAGTTATGACCATAATGAGAGTAAACGGCACAATCCCTTTCACTTATTTGTCTCGGGAATTAAACGAAGCTGTCAAAGAGAAAACAATTCGCTCTCCGAGACAATGAGTTGATGGGGCTTGAAAAAGAAATAAAACCTCGCCACCGAAGATAAGAACAATAATTACGAGGTAAGCAAACGCAGAATCCATTCATTGGCACTCTAATTAGGTAACGGTGTAAGCATCTGAAAGTCATGAGACCCGGGAACCCTGAACCAGTGAAGAAAATAAAGCTGAAGGTCTTTCGAGGCTTGAACAAAAAAGTCGGGGCATAATTCTTTCCAACCATTCTACTGTGTTAAGGAAGAACGCTGTATGGGTTTCCAGACGCTGCAATATTTCCTTCAATAAAAACCTAATTTTCCGGAAAACTGATTAAAATTTTTTTGCTCAAATTTTTCTGATAATTTCGTCCGCAATTTATCTAAAATATGAAAAAAATTCAAGGAGAAACAAGCATAATTTCCCTTTGAAGTACACGTTTTATCCGAAAAAATTTGGCAACTCTGGAATGTTCATACTGCGTTTTTCCGTAGGAAGGTAGCATTCTTGGAGGGTATTTTTGATTATGAGGCAAGATTGAGAGCTCCGAGAGTTTATAAAGATGTAACATTATTATTTATTTCATTTTTTTATACTTTTCCTCCAAGTTATTCGCTCCATTGTTTACATTGAGAGACGGGGGATATTTTTCATTTGAAAAGGGGAGGAGGAAAAGGGGGGGAGCTACGCGATTGCACAAAATGAATTATTGCACCTCGAAACTTCTCTCAATCAACCCCCACGATTCCGAAGCGAGCGCGGCCGCCTTGCGAATCATCCTCGCAGAAGTCATAATTTAGTCCGGGTAAATTATCTCATAAATTCACCGCCGAGACTAAGACGCTCCTCGCAGCCCGGGCAAAAATCGCACGTTCCACTCAACAACCGCGCTTAATTTTCAGGCTTGAAGCTTGATCAAATTTAACCTCAAACTTAGGGAGTTAAGAAGAGAGGAATGTGCGCGAGCGACTTTGGTGGATTTCCTTAAGGATGAGTTTAAAATAGGGTATAGAAGTCGCGTTTTCCTCGACACTGGAGGTACCGGGAATGGCATGGAACCACGGGCCACAAGAAGACCAAAAAC